CAAGATTTTGCAGGCCCATTCAAGGTTGAGAATGCCATTCTTGAAAGAAATACCCCAGGGATGGGGAACCGCTGAATTCCATTTCAGAGGATCTCTTGTGGACAGCATTGCAAAAATAGCAGCATATTTTAGCTTGAATCACTTAAATCAAGGAGCAAAGTTTTGGGAGAGGCATCTCAACCGTTTAAAGTAGGGAGAAACCCTGCACAAAAGCTGGAAACCACCAAAAAATCCACAGGGCATGGCCTTCTGGGAAATGCCAGAGGGCCAGACTAGGAAGCCAGGGGGCATCAGGTTCAGCACCTCAACCCTCGCCTAGCTTGTGGGAGAGATGCACTGGGAGAGAGAAACGTGAGAGCAAAACGAAGCCTGTGGCTGCATGTGAATAATGTCAGAACCTCCACCAAAGGGTTTAGTGTGGGTGGTGCTACCATGTGGGTTTATTTATTTATTTATTTAGAAAGCTTCTATGCTGCCCCATTCGCCGAAGCCTCGGGGCAGCTCACAACAATAAATAACATAATAACAGTATAAAAACAATATAGTTGGAGACATCCTGGCCAGATGTAAAATCAATAAATAATATTAACAATTAAAATGATGTTTAAATAAAAAGGTCTTCGCCTGGCGCCAAAAAACAAATAACGACGGCGCCAGGCGGACCTCTCTGGGGAGCGCATTCCATAGATGGGGTGCCACCGCAGAGAAAGCCCTCCTCTGAATACTTACCCTCCTAATATCCTTCATGGAGGGTTCCCGGAGAAGAGCGTCTCCCGCTGATCTCAAGGGGCGGGCAGGCACATATGGATGTAAGCGCTCCTTTAGGTAACCAGGGTTATCCGTGTTGTCTTAACCAAGCTCCACTATCCAAACCGTCGGTTGTTCACCATGAACAATCCATGAAGAAAACACATGGTTTGTTGCTGTGCAGTGAACAGAGGTTGGTATCACACATCATAACAGTCTTGTGTAGTTTCCATGATGTGCAGTTTTTGCTGTTGTTTTTTCTGGATGTGCCTGACAGCTGATTGTGGGTTCTATGTTAGCATGGTTTCCACCTTCCTTGCTCGGTCCTCCCACTGTTAGCATGCATCCCATCAGCCACTGTGCTGAAAGTTACAGTGGCTAAAGCAGTTCCTACCGCTTTAGCAATCACTTTTTCCAGGGGACTCTGTGGTAGCTGCATGCCAGGACTGTGGAAACTACAATGCTGGATTTGGACAATCAGAGAAACCATGATGAAGAACGAGAGCCATAGATCAGACCATTGTTTCTTATTGCGGTTTCTACAAAACCAAACTCACCATGCTGAAATACCATAGCGGGGTACAGAAAACACACCAGGCCATCTTGTGCAAGAAACCACCATGACTTGCTGTGGCCACCCAATGGGTTGCTCACTACGGGTTGTTATCTTGGCTGGGTTCAGACAACACAATAACCCATGTTTCAATGACAACCCACATTACAGTGTCTCCCTACACTCAGTCTATACATAGTCCTTAAGTGTATGCTATTGTGTCATCAGAACCCAGCCTTTGTATAATGTCAGTTTAAACCACTGTGAGCTAGTTGTCCAAAGAAAGAATCTTGTGCTTTCAGTTCAGTGGAGAGATTAACTCTTGCTATGGAGGACAAGGAGTTTATAACAGGATGGTGTGGGTAGGAGAGCCAGACACAAGAATGCCATTGTTCTGTGAATGGCTCTGAGAAGCTGTAATTATGCCAAAGAGGATTCAGCTCTATGCATGCTGTTACATAACATTTAGTTTCAACTGACACCCATTTTTCAGTTTTACTGACACCCTAAACGGTTTGCTAAGCTAGACTAGATAATAACTGCTGTCTTTCCTCTCCTTTCATGAGCTTCAGTGAAACCTAGACAGAAACTGAACCAGAAGAACAGAAAATGTGAAGCTTACTGCCCTGATGAAAGGAGATGGAGATGGCCTTGGCAGCAGGGACTCTGAGCACATTTCATCAGTGGAAAGTCTGGTCCAGACCCGGGGGCGGTGGGTTTGCATCTCTGCTTGTGTTGGGCCCTATAACTATAACATTTAAATTCCAGAAGCCTGCCCAACTATAGCTGGTTAAAGGGCCAGCCCTACTCATAGGCAAAGTGAGGCAGCCACTTGGAGTAGCCAAGAAGTAGACCGAGTTGTGTGTGCCATGGAACCTACTCTGGACCCCTTAAGCTGGCATCCTTCTCCCTCAGGTGCACTGAAGGACATGGCCATCGTGAGCCACGGAGTAAGGTCCACCTGCCACTCTTGCTTTCCTATATGGAGCAAGGCCACCAGATTGTCTTTGCTTCAGGTAGCAAAATCTCCTGAGCTAGCACTCTCAGAATTGGAAACGGCTGCTGGAGAGGGCTGGAGGATAGAACCAGGCTGTGACACATGATTCCTTGAGGGTGGGATTATATTCATGATCCCTTCCCCATCTTTGGTCCTAGGAAGGGAGACAATGTAGACCCAGGAAAGCAGGCACCCTGTTCTTCCTGACCCTGCCCACATGGTGCAAGTCTGTTATCGAGGGGAGTGACAGCACCCTGCCCAACTCTCACCCCCCCCCCACATGTGGAGAGTGGACCAATTTGGTGGATGCCGTTGTCCAGCACTCCTCCACACAAACACCTGTTACTACTCAGTTATAGCTAATCTTCAGTCATTGCTTGTCAGCTCTGGAGCAGAGTGTAGGTTTGTATATACACCCAAGCTTCTCCCACTAATGAATGCAAGGAATCTAGAATACATCTGGGTTCAAGACCAAGGGTGAGCTGCTACCCTTATAATTAACTTTGCATTTTGTATTGATCAGTGTTCTGTACAGAAATAGATTCAAGGTGATACAGAAATGGCAAGACCCTAGAATTCTGAACACTGCACTTTGAGCCATCTGTGTTCTTAAGTTTTTCACAAATACAGATCAGTTACAATTTTCATGCCCCTTGCCTTTCCACAAAAGCATTTGTCATGCTTTTTTTCCATATCAAGATCTAATCCTTACATAATCCTAAAATTCATAACATTTTAGATCATGAGCATTAGAAAATGCTGGCATCATTTGGACAAGGGACCATAAAATCTCAGCATTGCCCCAGCCAGTTAAAATTGTTGCATGACAAGGTCCATGTCTAGATTAGGGGCACCAGTGGGTGGACGAGAGGAGATCAACTGGCAGCGGTGGATAATCAGATCAGTGCTGATTTCCATCTGGCAGAATTAACAGATGGACCAACTCTTCAGACTTACATAAAAATGATTAAACAAAATCCTCATGACGGCTACACTATTTCTTCACCAGACCAGACAGCTGGCAGCAAAGAAGGTTAAAAAAATTCCATTGCCCCAGGAATGGAAAACTACAGGATATTTACTGTTTGGGGGCTGCATCTCATAGCTCTGGTGTAAGGAATCAATTTGATCTGCCACAATTTAACTCCTAGATTCCCCTTGACCATCAAATTGGAATATAAGCACGGTAGCCTTTTCTCTTTAGTACAGGAATGAGCAATTTTATGGAGTCTGGAGCCACTTTCCAGTGGATCTTCTGCAGCTATAGCTTCAGGGTAAATTTGTCCATTTTAGACACCCATAGTAGTTTATTGCTGAAATTTGGCTGCAAACCGCTGAGTGTAGTTGCTGTTGGCCATTTTGGAGGCAGTGCAGACAGATAGCGACACCTGGTGGTGTTTGGGGCTGGTTGCATGTTGCCGGCTTTAGAGTTTCAAAAACAGAGAAAGGATGTTTCAAATGCTCTTTCCCCATTTGTAAAACTAGTATCATTTTTCTACAATGTTTTTTTCACTGAGAGTTTTTATGCAAGTGAAAAACACACTCTAAGAAGAAATGTGTTTCAGAATGCCATCTCGATGCAATAACCCTGAGCAAAAAGAAGCGTGAAATAATGCAGAACTCTGCCGCCCTCTTATGGGCATTAATGGAAAAGTATCTGAACTGGTGATCCTTACAGGTTCCATCCAGGGTCGCACAGAGAGATTTCTGTTCATGGAACGGGCCTTCCACTCCCCCTCCGCCCACTTGCTTCCCATGTTTTCCATATCTATTCTAAGGGGTCTCCAGATCATCCAGAGCAGATATTAGGAGTGTATGGAGGACTGCAAGATAAGGGGAAACCAATTCCACCAAAAGTGTGTATTCTATTTGTTGTCAGACACCACTGCACCTTTTTTAATATCCTAGAGCTTAGGGGAAATAATTCAGTCTCATATTCTCATCTATCCCATTTAACACATCAGTTTCCATTCTACAATGATAGAAACAAAAATCTCAAAATAAAATAAATTGACCCAATATGCCCTTAAGTTTTCTCTGTACTTTTCAGCCTCTCTGGTGCAACTGCTAGAAAGCTGGGCCTAGAAGCTAGAAACTCCAGGTTAATTGACCAATAAATTCTCCTGTTCAGATATCAAGCTCATTGGAATCCAGGGCCTTCTTAATGCATGGGCCTGATGGGCACTTGCCCATGGACCCCATACTAATCTGTGTACGTTAACCCTTGGAAAATTGGAAAACTTCCAAAATTAACAGTAGTTGTAGTTGTCGTAGGGGCCCCAGCACACTGCTTTGCCCGGGGCCCATAACGCTGTTAAGCCGGCGCTTGAGTCATGCACACAGAATGTGAACTCAGGGCCCCTTGGCCAACAGCCTACTGGCCAAATGGAAGAACTTCTCACCAGTCATCTACAGCTAACAGTTACAAATTTGCCCAGGTCAGGATTCCTTCGCTTCCCAACTCTCCTGCAAATGGGCATTGAATTTCATTCTGTTCTCTACCTTCTAAAACAGGAGAGTCGTGCTTAGGAGCCACGCTAGACAAAGGCAGTCTTCGTGGGAGTGAAGGTCAAGTGGAAAGGTCTGTGGAACTTGTACAATGGCAAAACAAGTGCGTAACCATAGAAGATGCTGCTTTCCTTTACACAAGTCCAGATGACACAAGAGGAAGGCAACCAGAGCCAAAACAGGGATACCAGGACACAATTTAATAGGCAGCTGCAGATAGCCTTGCCTTCTTGTCATATATTCCAGGGAGGCATAGCAGCACACAGTATTTATGTATTTATGAAGGAACCGAGTATTCTTTTTCCACATTATCCTGCAGTATGTTTAATGGTAATAGTTTTCACCTCAGTGAAAAATTCATAGGAGTCTTTTGCCCCTTCTCTGCCTATCCCAGAGGCTTTCATCCCCCCAAAGGGCAAATTCAAGTCCCGGATGAGCCAGCAATTGGTCCACACCAACCCACATTGGAGTCTCTTAGCAACTCGATGAACCCGCCCCACATTGCTTGACCAGACGGTGGCTGCCAGGCCGTACTTGACTCCATTGGCCCGCCTAATCACCTCCTCTTCTGTGTCAAAGATGGTAACGCAAGTGACAGGACCAAAAATCTCCTCCTGCATGCAACATGAGTCATCACCAATTTCAGTGATGACCGTTGGAAGCAAGAAATAGCCATTCTGGTTTCTTGTAGGAAGAACAAAAGAATCAATTCCCTCTCCACAGAGGATCTTCGCCCCTTCTGCCCGAGCTGTTTTGATATAGTTCTTCACCTAACAGGAAGCACAAGAAAGGATTTTTAGAAAAGGTTGCAATTTCCAGGGATCAATATCTGGTCCACAAAAAAAGATTGTATTTTTAGTGATTTATCATTCAATAGTATTACGGATGATGGAGGTGACGTGGCAGCTATGGCCATGGTGATGTACCACAAAATATGGCATTGCCAGATAGAAATCGGAAGTATTTTCTTCTACCTGGTAGGAAACATAGCTTGGGGGAAATGCACAACAGGAAACAGGTTGCATCCAACTTGGTTCATCCGGCAGTGGAATGGATGGTTCCTCTCTGCTGCAATTCAAGGGCCACCTCCAGATCTGCTCCAGACTTGGGGGACCCCAAGGAGGATGAGGGGAGAAGGGGATGTCCAACTCTAGAAACCTCGTTCTGGTAGTTCAACAATGGATGCTATCCAGTCTTTGTAATGTGAAATTCTTGTCCTTTAGGGTAAATTTTAAAGGATCCGCCTTAAAAGCCCAGCTGTCAAGCTCTGAATGGACAACTTTTCCAGGCTACAGGAAATGGAACTTGGAAAGCACTTTTGAGGATGCTGGCACAGGGGAGTCGGCACAATTTAACCCTTTCTTTCTTTCTTTCTTTCTTTCTTTCTTTCTTTCTTTCTTTCTTTCTTTCTTTTTTAGGAAGCAAGAACACACCTCCTGTCACCAACTCATAATGCAGCCTTCCCAAGCCACCACTTTCCAAATGTGTTGGACTGTAGCTCCCAGAATACCCAGCCAAAACTGCAATTGCATCTGCTAACTAGGAATTATGGGAACTGCTGTCCAGCACAACAGAACGGTGCTCAGCTGGGAAGGCTGCCGGTGTTTCCAGCTTAGCCAGCACAAGCCCTGCCCCCCACAAAATTGCCAAAAGCTGAAATTAGAAACATTAGCATAATGTCTCACAGTTCTGACATCTACAAGACTTAATTTGTAGGAGTGGTCCAGTGACCTCAAAGCTGCTAAAGTCCTGGTCATACCCAGGAATCCTACCCTCTCCACATTTTGAATTCTGTTCATAAGCCATCCAGAAACTGGCCCATCAACTATATTGTGCACGAACATGTCACTTCTCTTCCACTTTTTTTTTACCTTTGCTAAGTGTTCTTTACTTATCAGTGCTCCCATGTCAACTGTGGGATCAGAGGGGCTTCCAATCTTCCATTTCTGAACAGCTTCCACAAATCTTCCTAAAAATTCTCTATAAATGCTCCTCTGAACAAAGATTCTGCTGGTGCAAAGACATATTTCACCCTAATGGACCAGGGAAGGGAAGGAAAAGGAGAGAAAACACAGTTATCGCTAGTTATTACTACAGATTTTCAATTTTTTATAGAGAACTAGAGACGTCATGTGTAACACAGCAAGAGAGAAAGCCTACTTTATTATTTATTTCACTAAAGGAAGAATTTATCTGCTAGACCTCACATTCAGAGAACCAACTGGCAAGAGCTGAGGAAGAAAATTATGGTGAGATACAAGATAGTATTACTCTACCGAGTGCAAAGATCAGTCTGTTGTCATGTTGCGTATTGTCAAACAAGATGGTAGTTATCTTTAAAAATGTGTGTTCCTAGCGCTAGCGGGAAAGCTGCAGCACTCGGAGAGACCAACAGAAAACTTTAATTCCTTCTGTAGCCACTGTAGCTTCCCTGCTAATGTGCATACATGGACACACACATATGCACACACACACATGCACGGACACACACAAACACACACACACACACACCCTTTGGATGTTTTTCCAACAATCAGAGTTGCTTCTGGCATTGGACCCAGATGGGGGGAAATGCTTTGGAACACATCACAATTTTGCAAATCAGGTCACTGAGAGGATATAGAAATTGACATGATGAAGGCTGTGGTCCCAAGTATTGAACAGCTATCGATTTATCTGTATTTACATATTATTTCTATATATTTGCATTTATATTTATTTAGAACTTTACCCTACTCTTCAGTCAACAAAGCTTCCAGAGCAACTTATGAAAATTAATAGTACAACTGTCCCTACCTTCATGCCTATGATCTAAAAGACACAATGCACAAGGCAAGAAGTTGGAAGGAAGGAGGGGGAAGGAAAAATTCTAAAAATTCTTAAAGGAGTTCCAGCAACTGTTGAGCAGACACCTGCTAGCAATAAGCATTTCCCTTCATTTAATTGATGAAGGATAAAAGGAGCATGACATCAACCAAAAAGGACACAGCAAAGGAGTCAAAACCTGGTACTGGAAGATAAACTGTTGCAAAATTATAACATGCATTTTGCTAAAAACTCCTTCAAGAGCACAAGAATACAATCATCCACTTCAGGCCATATATCTCTTTAGGAAGGAAAATGGATTATTGGGACCCTGAAGGAGGTCCAACCAAAATGTACCAAACTCTTTATAGGAATATGTCACCATGTCATACATTTCTGTTCTTTGGTATTAGCTGGCACTCCCATATCCAAGTGTGAGGTGTGGAGGGGGGGGGGTTGGGGGGGTGCTGCCACATGACCAACACCACCCTAATTACTGAATGCTGATGCTACTGAAGTTCTCAGTTAGCCAATGTGGAATATACAATTAGACCAGCATGTAATGCTCAGTTAATGAAGAGTGTGCCCTCTCCACCTCTCAAGTTCTCTAACGGCTCCAAATGTGAAACAGCTTCTACACAGGGGTAGCTTGTCTTTGCCATATCACGGGGCCAAAAACAGCTGCTGGGTGGGCACGTACATCCAATGTGCTGGTTGTCAATCCCTCCAGCTTGTGGGAGGTTTTGTTAAAACTTGCATGTGGTGTGTGAAATCAGCATGTAATTTTCCAAACAAAACTGTGCTCTGTAAACCAATGAATCGATTTGTGTGCTTCCTTTGTTGAAAACAAAAGACACTCAATTCGATTGGCACAGCATACAGATGATGCACAGCAAGAAGAAAAGGGAAAAGAAAACCTTCATCTCACATATTCTTGCAACGATCAATTCTCACAAATTGACAGGCTTCAAAACCTGTAACGTGAGACCTTGATTTCCCTTGCACTGCACATGACCAAGCTCTGGGCAAGGCTAGCATCAGAAGTAGGTATGGTTGGGCACCTGCCAAGGGCCTGTACCCCAGCAGAGGCCCATGGACAAGAATCCCCAGGGCTGCTCCTCCCTGCCTTGGATTGCCACCTGCTTGTTCACCTGCCTGTTGCTTTGGCCCAGACAATGGTGGTGGAAGTTATGGTGGAACCAAGAAGCAGCATATGCTACAGCCTAACAATCGCCAGGTGTTCCTCCACTCAAGCAAGCAAGTGGTGATCATAGAATCATAGAGTAGTAGAGCTGGAAGGGGCCATGAAGGCCATCAAGTCCAACCCCCTGCTGTTGCAGGACACCACGTTACACCATCCCACTCAGGTGGCTGTCCAGTTTCTTTCTGAATGTCTCTAGTGTGGGAGAGCCCACCACCTCTCTAGGCAGCTGGTTCCACTGTCGTATTGCTCTGACAGTGAAGAAGCTTTTCCTGATGTTCAGCCTGAATCTGGGTTGTCACAACTTAAATTGATTATTCCATGTCCTACCCTCTGGCATTAGCAAGAAGAGATCTTGACCTCCCTCTTTGTGACAGCCTTTGAGAGACTTATAGAGGGATATAAGATGATGATGGGAAAGAGGATGAGGAGCTATAGTAGATGGTGGTGGGATGGTACAGTCACTGTGGGAGTGAGCATTCAAGCTATCTTACCAGAGGGCCTTCAAAATCTAGAGCCAACCCTGGTTTGGAGCATGTATGCATATGCCACAAGGTTCCCTCACTGAACCTTTCCTATTCAGCACCAAGTTTACCACCCAGCCAAGCAACTGGTGAGTCTCTCCTCTCTTGGAACTCCCTCGCATGGTTTGTGACTGATACTGAACACTCATTTCTTTGTGTCCCATTGCTTAAGTAACTCCTGAAGGACTGTTTTCATGTGGTGGGGTGGACATTGTATCAAGTGGTGTTTTCTTCAGGTGGTGAGCTATGAATGCGTGCTTCATGGCCATGAGCATAGCTAAACACTCCTCTTCTCTGGTGGGATTTTCTCAGGTGGCTTCCCACTGCGGCTCTGTCTGCTCCTGGTAGATTTGCAAGGGCCTGGAAAGCAGACACCAGAAGCTCTATATCTCAGGCGCAGCTGCTTAGCAGAGCAGCTAGATGGCAACCTCCAGGTGCAGGCTGAGGATACACATGTACAAGGTAAGGTCAACATTCATGTAAGAAACATCATCTGTGCACATGTCCCAGCATACTTTATTTGGTCAATTTCTATGTTATATTTTTAATTGTGCATTTATTTTTAAATTGGATTTTCTTGCTGGCTTGCTTTGAGTGCCAGTTTTGACAGAAAAGCAGGAAATCAAGAAAGAAAGAAGTAGGAAAGGGCTGTCATAAAGAAATCGATGCATCCAGAGAAACACAGGAAGAATGAGTCAATAAGGAGCACAATGAGGGAAGCTTGCTTTTTCATTACTATAATTCAGCATTCACGATGCAAGATGCACGCAGTCAGGGATAGCACTGTGTAGAATGGGCCTGAAGCTGGTTTTTACCCTTCAGAACTTTCAGTGGAATGTCAGATGCTTATCGAATTGTGGCATTGCAAGAAAACTAAATTCTTCCACAGTTACTGGTGAATTTGTACAACTTGGGAAAAATAAGGAAAACACTAGAACAAGACTTGTTAAGTAAAAAGGCGGATCTTTCTGTATTAAAAGCATCAACTGATTCAATGTAATCATTTAAATACAACCAATTTTGTGACCCTGCTTTGGCATTTCTTCATTTTTTAAAAATACAGTGGGGGGGGCAGTGGTCCAGGCATGTCTCTACCCCTGCATGCACATTCTTGAGCTTCACAAGGATACAACACATGGAGTGTGAAGTGCTACACAGCTGCCTGCGGTCCATACCTGGTTGGCAAAGCTGGATCTTACAGTGGCAGGGACACAGGTGTCCAAATCGGCATCCTCAAAGATGAGGGCTGGATTTTTGCCTCCCAGCTCCAAGGAGACCTTCTTACAGTACGGAGCACTCCTTTCAATGATGCGCTGGCCCGTGAGTGTGCTTCCAGTGAAGGAGATCAGTGACACCTCAGGATGGGACACAAGCGCATCCCCGGCTTTGGGACCGCTCCCAAATACGACATTCACCACGCCCGGCGGAAACCCTCATAGGCACAAACAGGCAAGACACGGTTGCTCAGGTGGTGCTATCGGTCTCTTTGAAACACTGGAACATGCTTCTTTCCACAGCAGTTGACGCCAATAACAGTGGCAACAGGGCTTGGCTTTACAAGGCTGTCCCTTGGTGCTAGTTACTCAAGACTGCTTTGGGTCATGGCATGTTCTTTCATACACAAATAATATAATCGCTATTAAAACTGATAGTCGTGCCTCCTGTCACATATGCAGGCTGCAGAGATATTATTACTAGCAATGATATACAGTTAGGTCAAAAATTGTTGTTTTTGTTCAGGCGTTCAGTTGTGTCTGACTCTTTGTGACCCCACGGCAAGCTCCCCAGGCCTCCGCAGCCTCCCGGAGCCTGCTCAAATTCCACAAATGGGCATGCTGAAAAACCCATTTCAGCATTACACATGCAGCTAATTGAAAAAAGAAAGACTCTAGAGAAAGTCCGCACAGCCCATTTGGAACAGGACAACCGTGCACACTTGCTGTGGAGTTATGAAAAACCTATCTTCATGCAATGCAAGGATCGCATCATCAAATCACATATAGTTTGAGAAGATATAGGAGAATATGATATAGAGCACATATATATACTTCAGAGAATATAAAACAAAAATTGAACTGCCTGTATTGTATTACTTCATTCATTAACACTCAACTGACTGGTTGAACGTTGTTTTCCTGTGAGGCCCCGATGCCCATTATATGGTCACCCTTCCAGGGTTACCTGCTTTCTTGAGAAGCTTGCACATCATCCAAGCGGTGACGGATGTCATTTCGCTGGGCTTGGCAATTACTGTGTTTCCACACGCCACAGCAGGGGCAATTTTCCAGGTTAGCAAGTAGAGTGGCAAATTCCAAGGACTAATTAAGCCCGCTAAAAAGGAAAGAAGTTGAAGAGGCCAGAGAAGTTAAATTAATGGGCTTAAATAAGAGGGCGGACACTTCAGGAAGAGCTTCTCAACCAAAAAGGAAAGGATGATGGATATTTTTTCTTCTGCTCCATGCTGATTGATAGCAGAACGGATCCTTGCCTGCAGCTATCTCACACAGATATTAATCTGTGCGGATGTCTCGTGTATATATTCTTTTGTGTAAGAGCCATAATTTATGTCTTAAGCCACTTACAATACTTGCCTTTTATTATGATTTAAAGCATTTTGGAAAGATTTATGTGGAAAAAATGTCAGCTTTGTAGGAAAATGTTCTCTGTGTTAATGTTTTTATTCTGCTTTATATTGTACACTGCCCAGAAAGGCTATGGGGCAGTTTATAAAGGTAATACATAATGCTATGTTATTCCATAACTGTTTGGCTTCCAGTGAATTTACAAGTCTGCCATTTCTTTCATGTGAGCAAGAAGGCATTTGAAAAGCTAAACATCTTCTCTTGCAAAGAGGAGTTGGATTCTCACCAGTTCACATATGCACTCCAAAGCATTAACATTGCAAGTTAAGGGCTTCCACTTAACATCTGCCATTGAATTCTAAGTTTTCACTCATGACAACTAACCTCTTGCAAAAGTTACCTTTAGCTGCAGAACCCATTCATTTGCATATTTAACCAAAACTAAAAAAACAAAACACACACACCCCAAAGCAAACAAACCCGCAAATAAGTATTCAGGCATCATGAGAACATCAGAGTTGGTTTCTCCTGTCTGTAAATTCTAAAGTTTTAACGGATTTGCTATAAGCAGAGCTAACCAAAGTATTCACACCCAACCTTTTCAAACAGCAGCCAGTTACTCCAGCAGTAAAGTCATTCAGTCCCGCACACCCTGCATTGCCTACACACTAGGGGACAAAAACTCCTGGCTTCTTGATGGCCGTGAAGAGCCCAGCCAGGAACAAATGGATTCCTTTCTCTGCTCAATCTATTTCTCAGCAAAGAAAGGCAGGATAAAAATGTAATCAATAAAATGCATGCAAATTGTTGCACATTCTCTGTGGTAGAGGATTTGGCAGGCCACAGACAAAAAAAGATGTCACTTCCAAGCTACCCTTTATGTAAGAGATTTGTGATTAGATCTCTTAAGTATTTGTTTACTGAAAGAGAGCATTGCTCAGCTGCTGATGTTGGAGCAGCAGGAGGGAAAGGGGGTTTCAAAAGAAAAAGAAAAAATCTATCCCTGTGTTATTGGACGTACAGAGATGGGAAACCCTTTATGAGCAACCAAAAGGAACTAAAATCTTTGACGTACTGATGTTCTGAAAGAAAGGCCTGAAGACTTTTCATGAAAAAATATGAAGTACGAATACATTATCTGAAGGAGTTAGGTTTTGTTTTGACATATTGACATTCAGCAATGGATGCTATTCCTTTTATATTAGCTTTACTAATATAAAAGGAATAGCATATTTTTCTGTTCTCCTGCTTTCTAAGAGAACAAGAAACAAAAGAGGCCCTGTTCCTCAAAAATGCAATGCAATAGGCATCCCTGATAGAATAGCACTGTGCTATACCTCTCAAAGCTTTAAGCAACTCATAAGTTCTGGAGGGAGTCTTAAGTTATCAAATATCCTGACTAAAATTAGATGCTTGTTCTAAGAGCGCTGCAGTTTTCCAAAGGCTGAGTATGGGTTGAAATACAGGTTATAATGTTGCCTCTTCTGAACCCAGTGGAGATAACACACCATGCTGGGCAAACCCATAATTCACAACCCAGCCACAAAGCATGGATTCTCTTCATGGGTTCATGGTTAACTTTCCAATTCCAAAGACAATAGTGGTGTAGTGGAGAGAGGGTTTGCAAGGCCTCGCAAAAGCACCTTCTCTGATAAAGACCTTGCCCAGTGCTGTGTCCGCCTAGGAGCTCACCAAGAGGGGACATGGATTTTCCCAGTGTCCATCCCTTGCCCTGTGCTGTAATGCAGAGCATGTGGGGTGAGCTTTCCAATGGGCCATTCAGACCCATTCAGTTACAACACACCAGCTCCTCTTGGAAGAGCATTGCCTGCTATGAGTCAACACAACCTCCCGAATTTTGGAAATGGCCTGGGGAGGGCAACAGGACTGCCACGCTGAGCATCTGCCCTTCCACATTTACCGTAATAGTACGGAAGAAGACATTTCTTCTATCAGAAACTGTAGCATCACTTCTTTGGAAAGGCCTTACCAATTCCCACAGGGGTTCTCTCAGTATAGTGCATACAGCCCATATGGTCCACCTGTGTACATTCTGTTGTCTGGTGGAGGATGGAGGATGAAAAAAACCGGAAATTGTATACTGCCCGGGGAATATCCACCGTTCTAGCAAATGTAATGGTTTTTCCTGAAATAGATGATTAAGAAATGTCATTAGGCCCAAGCAATAGCCATTGCGGTGCTTTTGATATTAATACATTTGCTGTGCTTGAATGTCAGAACCACCCGGCATGGGCAACAAATCAACCTGGGTCTGTTTTTATGCAACCCACAGTAAGCCCAACAGAGAACTGGACTCACCGTGGGTTGTTGGCTACTTCACCACCACCGATCCAGTCTTCCTACTGGAGAAAGAAGTTGATCCCAGCCTTTGTTCAGTGGTTTGTTTTCAGGGTGTTCAGGAGAAATGGGTGATTTTCAGCTGGGGGTGTTGAATATGAAATGGGGGAGTTGGAATGGGAGCACACATCTGGCGATATCCCAATCCAAATCCTCCACTTACCACTCAAACCTCCCTTTCTGAAGGGACCCAGAGTTTTGCAAATTCGCTGTCAAGATGTCAAAACACTTTCCTCTTAGAGAAATGTCTAGAGTGCATCTTTGTGCTTTCCCAAGTACCGAGAGGCTCAGGAGAAAGAGCAAAGTGTGTACCCTGATAAAACCGAAGGGGCGAAAATGAGGATCGTGTTGCAAAGTGCCAGTGTGGTGGTCAGCATGTTGGACTGGGATCTGGAAGATTTGGGCTGTAGAACCCACACAGCCACAAAGGCCACTGGGTGAGTTTGGGTCAGTCACGGACTCTCAGCCTGATCTACCTCATAGGGTTGTTGTGAGGATGATTGAAAGGGGAAGAAGGATTGTGTAGCTTGAGCTCCTTGAAGGAAAACCCCAGGATATCAATATAAAAAATAAAATAAAGATTGTGTAGATCCCCCCAAGCCCTGCTTTTGCAGCCAAAGATTTTTCACAGCTTAGGTTTTTCTTTACTGCTCACCTGGCAGCTATCAAGAAAAATGGGGAGCGGGCCATTCGGAGCCTCTACTGGGCAAAGTCTTCCATTGGCACCTGCTGCCCCTTTGCAGCAGGCACCCCAGCTGAATATTGCCCCAGTCAAGGTTTCAAATACCTCTTGTTGCAGTTAGATAATGCGTAAAAATAAATAAATAAATAAATAAATAAATAGTGCATAATAAAAATGAAAATATAAACTTTGGTGCAATTGTTTTCTGCCGCCTGGGCAGTCATGGGGAGTCCATCCAACTTGCAACCTGCACACTTTGAAATGACTTGGACAAAAGGAAGCTCATAAAAATCCTGTTGATGATTTACAATTGACTCTAAATGATTGGAAAACTTATTGGTTTAGAGAACTATAATTATCTTTTTGTGAGCTTCAACAAAGTACTGATTGACAGAAAGACAGAAATTTTGGGGGTTTTGGGGGAATTTGCAGGTTATGAATTTACATGTTATATTTGTGTAAGATCCTTTGGCTTCTTACTTCTTTGTTACACTTTCTTCTTTTCTGTATTTTATTTCTTTTAAGAAAGCAATTATAAAAGCATACATAAAAAAAGAAATGACTGTTTGCAGCAGTCCCAACATCTCTCCCAAACAAACCACAAAAAACAAACAAAATGTTTAAAGGAGCAGAAAAAAGAATTGCAGAAAGCCCCAGAAAGGTCGTGAAGGGAAGGGGAACGCCGGTGTCAGCTTTCCCCAGCGAGTGCTTTGGGGGGGTGGCATGTCAGGGTAGCCAGCACTAGGGTTGCTGGGTAGACCCATGGCAAAGGTGATAAGGAGGGGGGGGGGGTTTGCTGTTTTCATTATGGAGCTCTGTAGTCAACTCCCCAAACCCACAGGAAGGCTGGTATTGTGGTTTGGATAACATGCCAGCCCATCATGGGTACAACAGCCCCTGTTCACAAGCCACTCTGGGAATTCGGCCTGGGTTCACATGCCACAACAACCTTTTGTGAGCACTGTGAATGGCACCCCATGTTGGGTTATTTTGTTGTGCAAACCCAGCCATTCTCTCAGCATCTGAAGGCTCTGGATGGCCTTCAGGAGTTTTGCCTCTGGCAGAGCATGAACGCAAACACCTTTCACAATGGCTGCCGTGTGTGTGAGGAGGACCCAAAATGTTCGAGTGCCAGGTCAAACAGGAAAATGCAGCAAAATGATATACCACGGCAAAGCAAACGGGTTTCTCAGAAGTATGGGGGCATTCAGAGAACAGCAGTCTTTGTGGACTCCACCGTGTGAATATAGCGCTGAATTCTGCATTTCGTGTATCATTTACAGTACCTACAAACAGTCCATGCTTGCCAACACCCTCCTTTCAAGAGAAAAACATGCCTTTTATCTGTATTTTATGGACGTATCCCACCCACCCTCCCACTGTATGCCCATGGTCTTCTAAGGAGACTAAAGGGGCTACTTCTAGTCAGTTGTAAGCATCTCTCCTTTTTCTGATCCCCTTTGAAGTCCTTTTTCTGAAACTCCTTGTCCAAATGTGGGACAATCCTTCGTCCTGCCCTCTTGGAGGAGCCATTTGAGGCCCCACCTGCCAAAGCAGTCACTTTGGGGGCAAGACCCTATCACGAAAAGGTTGCCTCCAGGGCAGAGGGGTGGCTGCTTGGCTCACTACCACCAATGAAGAACTTCTGATTGTCTCCCCAGAACACGCCCGGAGTCGTTCTGAAGCAGCATTTTATGAATGTTCCTGAGCGCGTGTGTCTTGGTCAGGCTCACTCTGTGCATCTTGATGAATGGGCAACTTACGGTGTAGGGGCCTGCCTGCTGCTCAGGCCGTTTAGGTGGATGATGCACTGCATTGCTAATAAATACTTTTTGTGATATCACTTTGTGGAGAAGTTTCAGGGAGGGGCGTCTCAGAAGGTGGGGCAAAAAGCAGAGAATCTCCGCCATTTCTGTTTCTTCTCTTTATTTGACATGGTGTGCAAGCATTTTGTACTGGGTATGAATATTCAACCAGAAGTATTAAGATGGGAATTGCCTTTCCTCTGAAAATCAGGATAAGCAACACCACAATGCAGCATGTAGACATACACTTATCTGTGAATTTTGGTCTGCATTATGCAGCCTAGGCCCAGAACCACTGCCATGGATATCAGTCCTTAGATCTTTTAATTCTTCAGCAATATGTGTATAATAACACCAGTTTCCCAAGCCACCGCCAACACAGAACCCAACTCAAATGCCTTTTGCCTGTACCTTGATCTTTGGATTCTGCTTGTGCAAAGGACTCCAGGTCTTCTTCAATAAGGTCTGCTAGCCGGCTCATGATTTTTGACCTTTCTTGGGGACTTTTGGCAGACCATGCTGGGAAGGCATTTTGGGCAGCTTTAACAGCAGCCCCCACCTTGAAAAAGCAACAGATACATGCATTCCATGTGGCATTCAGCAAAACCAAAAGCACAGCGTGCATTCATGGGAATTATGATGGAGAAGCAAGTGGATTATGGTTTATTCTAGAGGGCCTGGTCAAAAGCTCAGGCTCCAAACCTATAATACACCGTAATAGAGTAAACGATCAATCAACCTGTCCTCTCTTTCCCTACATTTATATCCGTCAGAATCTAGCAAAGCACTTGGGCACCACCAGCTCTCCTGTGCCCAAGTGCTTTGTGATTCGGTTGCACAAGCGCCCCTCTGCTAGTGCTTCAGCAGGGCAAGTGTTTCACAGGGCAACCCAAAATGAGTAGAATTGTGGAATAGATGGTTTGATTTTATATTGGGTTTTATTCAGATGATGAGTGAATGGTTGCAGTGGATCAGTATTTCGTGTTGTGTGTTATTATTTTATTTCCCTCATTAACTGTGGGCATTATCTTTGAAATTGTTGTGATTACTATGGATGTTACTGTTACTGTGTTTTAGGCTGTAAACTGTTCTGAGAGTGTTTGCTATAGAATGGTCTATAAAAACATAACATAAATAAATTTCTGAAAGGAGGGGGGTCAGCAGGGCTTTGCACTCCTTTGTGAGGCTTCCTTTAGGAAACAGTAAATCTCCTTTGCAACGGAGCGAAATCCCACTTGCTTAATGGAATTGGTGGGGCTCTCAGCTTATGAAATGGAATCAGTGGGGTGTAATCACCCCAATGGATGCTGCGAGAGAGGAGGGGGAGGAAGAGGGCGAGGGAGGGATAGCGAGCAACAGCAGCCATTTGGGATGCAAGTTCAATACTCTAGTTATCAGGGCATTATCTTCTGGAAAATCTTGAGCAGGAGTCTCTTTCAAGAACAGAAATTAAGCTTGGCTACTAAGCATTTCATTGCCCCCCACCCACCCATCCCAGAAAGTGGAGACTTCAGGTACAGAGGACACCTTTCCTTAGTGTTACCAGTTAAATGGTATTAGTGCTATTCCACTTTTTTTCCTTAGCAGATTTGCTGCTGTGAGGAAAAGGACAGAAGATGGTGGGGAAACATGGGAGGGTAGTGAGTGGAAGATGGCGTTGTTTGGACCCCTCCTGGGTAAAATTCTGCAAATGAGGCAAGGCAATGCTGCAATAAAGCCCTCATCTGGAAATGTAGGACAATGCACCTTGAGGTTTCGTCTTCTAATTGCTTAGAATTAGAACCACCAGGTGGCAATGTCGAGCTAAGGTCTTTCCTATGCCTCTCTGGATTGCCACATCACTGATTTTAAGTACAACAGCTTTTAAGGACATGAATAAAATGTTTGTTTACAAATCAAGTCACCCCGTGTGCAGACAAGCTGAAGACATAAAATACAAGGTATCCATTAAAACAATGATATAACAATACAAGATAAGAGGAGCAGCAACAAGGATAAAACAGTGCAATGACCTAGAAACACTGAAACGGTTCCTGAAGGGCCTGGGGAGGTGGGACCTCTTCACCTAACACCAAAAAGCACAAGGAAGGCTCTAGGCAACACCTCTCTGTGGTGGGTCTTTGGCACACTGAAAAGTTTGCCTCATTTGGCGGGGATACTTGAAGGATGGGTTAGATGACTACCTGAGGGTCCAGGCATCCCTAATCTCAGAGCTCCAACTTAAATTATGGAAGAGAAGATGGGTGAGAACCTGTGACAACAAGGCAACAACAAAAGTATGTTTCACTGTGCTATCAGGTTGAGTCACCTTTGCTAAGCTGGAAAGGTACAGGCCTGCAGCTGGATGGGTGACCTTATGGGGAAGTGGAGCAGGGAGTCTGGCCAGAGGGCTATATATAGGCCCTTCCAACTCTGCTACTATTCCAGGCAAGTCTAGTCTATTGCAGTAAGAATCAGTCTTGTTGCACCTTCACTAAATGCCAAACTAAATGAATGTGTGATTAAGAAAAGGTGTAGCAGCATAAGGGATTGTATGTCACCCTTAGTCCCTTGAAGGAAAAGTGGGACACAAATGAAAACCTAGAATTTAAAAAAAAATAAGTGAGAGGTTTTTTTAATCATTGCCTTTTTGCCCAAAATGTGCCTTAAGTCACTATTTCACAACAATGGGGTTATACAGAGTAAACAGTGCTTAAAAAAAGATTGAATTCTTGAGGGATAGTAGCTTGGGCCAGGGTCATCCTTAGCACTGGTGACGAAGAAGCTGCTGAGAAGCACCAGCCTAGTGGGCTTTGGCTGTATTAGTTGTAGCAGCAACTGGCAGGGATGTCAGGGTCTTGATGTGGTTGTTGCTTTCCTCGGTTGCTCATTAATGGGAGAAGATGGGGAAGAATGAGACCAAATTCCTGCTCGGAAGAAGGAAGCAGCAGGCACTGAGCTGGCAGAGACTGGTTAAGGAAAGGATCTTGGAGGGGGCTGGAAAGCTTGATAAAAAGATTGGCCCATCTGCTGTGAAAAAGGCCAACTCCATGCTTGGGCCTAATTAGGAACAGAATCGAAAATTGAACCACCAAGTTCTAACCCTCCCCAACCTTATGCAAATCTTTGGTACAACAGCACTTAGAATATGAAACTTTTATGTATAAGATGGGGTATAAAAGTTATCGATAAATAGATGTTGTGTTCAGTTCTGATCACCTTACCTGAGAAAGGACATTACTGAGTTGGGAAAAGCGCAGAGCAAGGCAGCGAAAAAGGTCAGGGGGCTGGGGTAGCTCCCCGACGAGGAGCAGCTACAACTACTGGGACTGTATAGCTTAGGAAAAAGGTGAGTAAGGGGAGACGTGATAGAGGTGTTTAAAATAATGCCTGGAGAAAGTGGAGCAGAAGAGATTTTTCTCTTCTCCCATACACTAGACGTGGGTCATCCCAGGAAGCTGACTGGGGGCAGATTTAGGACAGATCAAAAGATGTACTTATTCACACAACACACAGTTAAACTATGGCATTCACAGCCACAGGAAGTAGTGCTTCCCATCTGGACAGCTTTAAAGGGGGGTTGGACAAATTCCTGGAGGGGGCAACCAGTGGCTACTAGCCTTGCTGGCCACATGCTGAGAGAGGCCTGCCTGCAGGCACCAGTTGCTGGGGAGCCTGGGCAAGAGGCGGTCTTGCACCCGTCCCGCTTGAGGCATCCTGTGGTTTGCCCTGTGTGAACAGAGCCCTGGACGGAGGCACCATTGGTCTAATGCAGCATGGCTTTTATGTTCTAAATGATGATTGGTGTCCTATCCCTCATATATTAATTTTTATTTCTGAATACATTCATACCCCTCGCCATGCATCAGTTTAACAGATATGCAGTATGATCTGGCCTACACGAATTCCACTGATTGATGAACTGTCTCCAGCATGTGTATGCACACAGAAAGTAAAGCAGGTCTTTCATCCCATAGCTATTTATACATTAATATTTATCCTGATAATATTCCAGATCTTCTTTTTTCAGTGGTACAAGGGACAGTGTGCATGATGTTTGCCAGGCTTTTGTTAGGAAAAGTGAAATTGGAAATCGTGAAGCTCAAATAGGAGACATGGATGAGCTAAAGGCGGGCTGAGATTGTTGAGATCCAAGCAATCCTACAGATGGAGAAACTGAACCAAAGAACCTGCAGACAGTGGCTGGTGTGACACCGCTCAGTTTACAGACCAAAGAGTGTGCAGTGGGCAATGCGTGAGGTGCAGCCGCTTCTTCAGGAGACAGTAACTAGGGCCGGCCGGCAGCGAGAGTCAGGAGAGCTGGGCTCTTGAGACGAGCCATGCCTTTGCACCCTGACTGCCCTCTCTCTGGGACATCTCTGCCTGCTGCCCACAATCATGACAGTGTAAAGGAAGAGCAGTAAGCACTAGAGTCCACCCACTGCGTCTCTGCCTGGGAAGCAAGCGGACAGCCACAGCAGCGAGGAAGAGGAGCATCAGCAGTGGAGCGCAATGCAGTGAGTAGGTGGAGGGAGAAAGGCCAGTGGAGGAGGCTTGCCCAACAGCCCTCCTACCCTCGAGCTGTCTCTGAACTGGCAACAGAAGATGGATGCGATGCGCTGGGTGTAAAATGTAGAAATGCACACAAAGGAAGGTGGAAAGGCTTGTCTCTGTGTTCTTATTCTGTAGGACCTGCCTCTGGATTGAGCCTTGTCTGCCGTGGCCTGGGTGAGAGTCCTCCACTGCAAGAAGATGCCTGAAGAGGAAAGACAGGCAGGATGGCAACCAGCTGCTGAGCAGAAGGGGACGGACATACTTGGCCATACTGAGCAAGTGCTGCAGCTGGCCCCCAGAAGCAGCAGTCCTGGCCGACACATGCTTCTTCCCAAAACACCCACTTTGTGCAGGCCCAGCTTAAATGTGCCCTTCATTTCATTCCATTCCATCCCTCATTTTTTTAAGGCTGCAAGATGCTTTGCACAAGGATCTTTTGGGGCAAGAAGCAACCTTTACAAAGCTGTGCACGTATCGGGTAATCAAAAAACTACTCAAAATGGACTCTGTGGGTGGTGCACTAGTCATTGTGTAGTCTCAGCTGCATCGAGAGTAAATTAAAGCTAGCACATGTCTAGAGGAAGGAATAGGGCACCTTGGCAGGTACTAGAGAGGAGCCCATGGGCACCACGTTGCCCATCCATGCCCTGCAGACATTGCTCAAGTGAGATTCCTTTGCGCATGTTGCTTCTGCAGTATATCCTATTCAAAATGGAGTGGGACAGCCTGAGAGCAAGCTATGGAACATGACTGTTTGGCTTTTGTCCATGCCACTCAGTATAGTCTAGTTCAGGTCATTTTATCAATTTATATGCATGTTTTGTGGGGTGTAATGAACTCTGGTGAAAGTATCTGTATTAGTAGATCTAAAATGAAATCAGGTGCATTTGCTGTTCCTTTGGTTAAGCTGGACCTCTCCCTTATTTAAAAAAAAACAAGATTATTTTTATAACTGTTCCATTGACCAAAGGTTGCATTAAGTGACTACAGCAGGTTGTTCTCCAAACATGCTGTGTATCCAAGCAAACTTGTTTAAATGTTTTGTATGCAGCTACTATAAAGATGGCCAAAACAGATTAACTCCTATCCTATCAAAATACTCAGATAGGAGTTTTGAATGGTGCCTGGTTTACCTGCTAACAGATGGTTGCAGGGGAAAAATCTATGGCTAATGGGGCAAGATAAAAATCTAATAAATAGACAGAAATAGCAGCCACATTTCATTTTTTGAGCTGTAAAGTCCCATGAAAGAATTCTATCTGCCTAAATTCAATTCGTGCTGTGTCTTCCTTAGCTAATATTTAATTTCCATAGCCTAATTTATTATTTTAGCCTAGGTTTTTAATTTGTAGGCATTATATATCTTATTTTGGATGTTTAATTTATATAGATACACTTAACACACACAACATACACACATATATAGCATTTAATATTTTGAATATTTTCAACTATTTTGGCCTTTACCATTGCCTATATACTGTGATTTATGTTAAAACTGGATAATTTCAGTGTTTTGCTGTTGTCTAAATGGGTCTGTGACCATGCAACAAACTTGGATAGATTTGGACTTTGGAAAGCTGAGCTAGTTGCTTATCAGCCCTTAAGCAAATATTTGACCAACTGAAGCTGAATGCTAAAGGTTGAAGATGAAACTGAAAAAATATATAAATGGATAGCCCCCCTCTTTGCAACTGTAGTCATTCTGTATGTATCAGAGGCATTTCTTTGACTCAGTTCTTTTGCAAGTTTTTAAGGAGTCAGGCACACAATTATGTGCACAGAAGACCACAGATACGGTTACACCCTAAATGGTCCTTTCTACTTTGCCTTGCTATTGGACTTAATTTCCCTGTTACCACTCTGAGAAGCTCATTTTAAAAAGAGAGAGACTTAAAGGTAAGTATGCGCAAGTGTTGTGTGCTATAGATCAAGGCCTGCACCTAGTGGCAAAACAGGCCGCTTTGATTCCAAAAAGTATTAATAGATTCCGGGTTACATTCTGCAAAATCAAAAATAAGTTAGAATATAAAGCACATTGTACAATTTCAAAAGTTTAGACTGGTACGGGTGAATAAAGGAAAGAGAAAAATGACACTATAATTGATAGTGAACCATTTATATGCCTTAATGGAAGTTTCCAGGGAATTACGTAAAAGTAGCCGATTGCAATTTGTGTGAGAACTTACCTCTTCTCTGCCACTGTCTGGCACCTTGCAATATATTTCTCCTGTCGAAGGGTCATAGGAATCTAAATAGGAGGAGCAAGGGACAAATTGGCCTCCTATATAATTCTCCAAAAACAAGAGCGCCGTTGAGCTGGCCATTATGATTCTGGCTGTGTCATCTGAGCGTTCTCACAACTCCCAGTTTTTAGCACAGATCTATTTATTTAGCCTTGTAGGTCTGAACTCCTCCCTCCTTGGAAAAGCTCCATTGATGCAATCCAAGAATGCAGTTTTCATTACCTGGTCCAACGAGCAATGAAAACATTGGGTCTATAATCAAATGGATGTGTGTGTGTGCACGTGTGATGAAGGCGACAGTATGATTAAGGTTCGAAATTACTCATACCTAAATTTGGACAATGAAATACTACTCTGACTACATCTGACCACACTGGCAGTGACTTTGGGAGCTTGTTTTGCCTTCTCCTTCCATATTCTTACATGAAACCCAAGCCCCAACCTGTTTAGAACACATGGTCGGAACTGCATGGGTTGATACACATAGATGTAATTTGTGGATCATTTTCTTCTGCAGGGGAATTGGATTCCATATTCTTTCAGTTACTTCCATGGAAAAAGGGGGAAAGAGGAGAAATGTTTGAAGGAAGGCAAGATATTCTTCTCTGTGTCCTCATTGTATCCTCTAATACTGGCTTCTATCCCAGTGGGTTTGGGTTAGGTTTTTGTTTATCTTTAAAAGAAAAAAAAAACTCAAACCAAAAGGTCATTTTTTCTGTAATTTGAATGTCTGGTACATGACTCTCAGGAATTTTCCCCCTGCTAATCTGTTACTACTTGACTGAAAACAACGATTACCTAGAAAGAATAATTCTTACATGAATTTCAGGTTGCTGTGGTTCCTGTACTCAATAATACACCACAACACAGCAACTGTTGTTCAATTGGTAAAAGAGTAACTTGACTGGATTGCTTGATGGGCCATCATGCTCTGGTCTGGTGCAGAGTCTGTACAATACACGGTATTTGAAACTTCATGAAGCTGCACATTGCCCCATTCTGCCAAGCAAAATGAAGACCTACAGACATGTTAGGTAACTCCTCATGAACTATACCTGCCCCTGCTTCTCAGGTCCTTTACCCCTTCACAAACTTGATCATCAAGGGGTAAGTTTAAATTTAATCTCATCCATGTGAGGAAGCATTTGGAATTTTCCACATGGAGGCAATTTTACACACAGTTACCTGATCACTGTGCTCCCTAACTGGGGCCAGTATTCCATGAAAATGTGAAGGTAGTGGCCTTCTGCCACCTGGAAGACTAGAAAGCGAAGTGGGACTAGGCATGAACTGACCTGTTTCCACGGGATATATCATAGTGCCTAGCAGTAGAACCCCATCTACTACTTTTTAGAAGCCAGGATGTGCTCCTCTGATCAGTACCTAAAGAAAAAGCAGACTAAAGAACTCCACAGCTACTCTTTGAAACATATGAAAAGGAGAAAATATTATAGCTACCCGTCTTTAAAAAAATGACACATAGGGCAGGTTTCCATGTCACAAGAAGCCATGGCAATTTCTTACCCTTGTTCAACTGTCATGTCATCTGGACCCAGCTGTAGCATCTCCATGTGGTACTTTTAGTTTCCCCAAACAAAACATGTTCTAAAACATGTGTCAGCACTTCTTCTCTGGTTGTCTAGACCCAGGATTTTCATGTTACCAGTTTGGGGATGGAAACCACACAAAGTCCCATGATCAGAGCAGTCATGGAAGTGGGTCTACTTCACTGTCTACTACCTTCAAGCTTCCTTCTAACATGTACATCGTCACCCGCTTTATTCCTATTAGCTTAGTGATTACCCATCACTCTTTACTTTTAGAAACAGGGAGAAAGTGAGTAACGGCACAGAGGAAAAAGGAGGCAAAAATGTATCATAAAATAATGTGCTGGGGGCTGGAGTGGCTGGGAAGCACTGCAGAGATTCAGGTACACTTGGGAGGGGAAAGAGAGAAATCCAGTGGACCAGTCACTACAAGACTTGTGAAGTCTGTAGGGAGCAGACGAGTAAGGAAGACTTTGATCATGGGAACTGCTGGGATGCCTGGCAAGACCAGGAGGATAGAGTGGGAAGCAGGATAGGTGCTTCACTTGAGGAACAACAGTATCATCTGACTAGTTAGATGCAGGCAAAAATCCACACTGTGGAGACTGCACAGGGTGGTTTGCCATGATCTGTGAACCCAGCCATTTAGTAAAGCTTCTGACAGGGGGAAAGTGCAACATATGTTTCTAAACATTCAGGCAAAGGTGTTATATTCTGACACACACCTGTATGGCTTGAAAGAAGGGCATCCTTTTGGTCCTTCATCATCAGCTATACCTTCTTTGTCAAGGTTTTCAAGTATTTATAAAAGACAATGTGAAAAGAAGCCAGTATTTATGCTCAGATCACTACTTTATTATACTTCTACAATTAAAAAATAAGATTAGCCATTATTGGACAAATGGTGTCTACACAAGTAAGTTATTAAATAAAATTGGGGTGGAAAGACATTAAATTTCTAGATGCAGCATTATATGATGTTTTCTGAAACAGAAGGAAGCAGGGTTCTTTGAAAATCTATTTGTATAAAACCTGCAATCTTTTAGCCCAATTTAAGTAATTTATGAAATCATGTGCAGCAAGGAAGCACCTCCTCAAAAAAATTGTAAACAAAGTTTAAGGCTGGAAGTAACATGATGAGTCACCATCCTTTAATAAATCACTCTGATTAACTTTTCTTAAAAGTCCAGTAGAGCTACTGACAGGGGATGATATTTTAGGAGGGGAATAAACTGTAACTTGTGCAATGAGAAAGTGCAGAGGGTTCTTCCCTGTTGGCATATTGTTTTGCAGCAATGAAGGCCTCAAAATGTTTGCAGAGCATTCGATATTTCATTTCCTCCCCTTTGTCTTTGTTCCTTCAACTGATATGACTGGATTCATCAAATAAGCATATTTGGACAAATGATTTCATTTGGTTGGATTATAGAAGTCCTGGCACAGCTATCATTCTTTAATCTAAAATGAAAGAAAAAGCATCGTTTGAAAAAGTGAAAACATCATTGAACAGACAGTAACTTTTCTACACTGAAGTGCCAAAGTGCACCAGCATGCAGGCTCAGCACCAGGTCTGAGGATGCTCGGAGCAAAGTGCTCCTTCTTTCCATGAGTTACCTGAAAGTGGAGGAGGGAGTGCTGGTACACCCCATTGCACTTCCTTCCCCTTCTAAAGTTGGGTCTTGTGCTGAGTGGAGACATGCTGGATGAGGAAAACCTCAGCAGCTGCCCTTTCCTTTCTTTCCAAAAGGCTAAAGAAGCCACCCCAACCTAGTATTCTACAGATGTTGAGACTGCAGCTCCCATCATTCTCAACAAAGGAGTCGCATCCAACTTACTGGGAAGGCATCAGGCCGGGGAAGGGGCTAAAAAGTTTGGGACTCTTTATTGAAAGGGGAACAGATAGTCAAGGGGGTTTCAATAGACAAGATAGATTATTCCTCTGTCTCGAATAATCCTAGAACGTGGAAAGAGAACAAACAAAAAAGGCCTTCACACAAACACTTTACTTGATGGCTACAAAGTGTGAAGAGAGGCAGAGGCAGGGTCAGACTGCTTTAAAAATGGATTGTGCGTGTGTCTGGGGAACAGGTATGCTCTTAATGGGGTAAGTCACAATGGCTAAACAGAACCCCTTTGCTCAGTTGCATTCTTTGGAATATTAACTGTGTGTGGGCAGGAACACTAGGGCTGCTTCTTTCACGGCTTTCCTAGAAGCCCCTGAAGGGCCACACTAAGAACGGATGCTGGAGTGCATAAGAGGTGAGCAAAGTCGTGCCCATGGGTCCCCATGTGCCTCCAGGCAGCTTACCAGGTCCCCAGGGAGGAACCCTATTCCATTATTTTTTGGAGAATATTCTTCTGTTTTCTTCCTGGCAGCAGGAATTGTAACAAAGGGACATGGGAACCTCCAGCTGGAGGCACTGGTAAGTGGTTGGGGGGGGGGGGCTAGAAATACTTGTGGTTTTTCCACTTTCACAGGGGTCCTGTGCCCCAACTCCTGTGAATCTGGAGGGCCAACTATACGTGATCTGACTTGCATACAACTTCAACTTGAAGATGAATTTCTGTTTTCTTAGGAACAGAACACATTTGTAACCTGGAGACTGTCCGTACCCTAGTAATAAATGTACCAGTAGAATGTGTGCTTTTGTGTGTCCATGCATGTTTTATGAACCAGTCCCCTATAAGGTACTAAAATGACTGCTTAGGTTTTTTTCCACACCTCCATTTTAAGACTGATGGACTCGCGGTGTGGATCCAGGCCATTTAGATACATCCAAGCAGCATATTGTGGGCTAAGGAAACTGAAGTGGTGCTAATTTCCTCCTCATTCAAGTGGCTGACCAAAGCACTCATTTTCTGAGATAGACAAGCTTACAACAAACTGATGCTGAACCAACCGAGGGTAGACTGCCCAAGCCTCTTTTGGAAAGCCCAATCAAAGCAGAAGCAATGCTGGGCAAGCAGCCTCCCTCAGCTGGTACTAGAAAAAGCAAACCCCCAAGAAAATACAAGTTAAAACTTGAACCTCAGGGCACAGAACACATGATTAAAGAACTATAAAACTATAGTATTAAAAAAATACCGTACCTCGGTAACAACTCCTGCTGCTATGGTGGATCCACTGTAGCGTAACATAAACCTTCCAAGTTCTTTAAAATCTTTATAAAGTTCTACAGCAACAGGCCTTTGTGTTTGCAGTTCTATTAAAGCATTTTGTCCTTTAGTCAGACACCTAAAAGGAGGAAAATGTTAATACACAGAGTGATATTACTGTGAGAAGGGATATTGTTTGTGTGCGTACATGCGTGCGTGTGTACATGTGCAAGAGAAGAAGAGAGACAGACAGACAGAGAGCAAATATTTCTGACAGATTCAGAATAAACAGTACCTCAGCTTATATTGGGATACCTTGCGATCCAGTTGGTAATACATAATCATAACTGATTATCATCATTGATTATTCTCTCCTCAATTTTCATAGGGTACACATTCTAGTAGAGCTTACTATTTGATTTTTTTTCAAATTTCTAAAACTGAAATTACCAAATTGCCCTAAAAATACTTACTTAGGTTTTTTCTTTGTGACTTCACCTGTATTCTTGTGAAGTACACTCAATAATCTTCTAATGGTAGCAGGCTCACTTACAGTTTGAAAATGTAAAAGCACCTGAAACAACAGTTGATGGCAATTAATACTTTAAAACCACTGCTGGGGAGGGGGGGATTAAAAACATTTCCCAAAACATTCCACCTAGCAAAACATTTTGCACAAAGGCAAGGTGAGGCCTTACATGAACTTATGATGTTAATACAGTCTCACTGGTGTATTGATCTATTTGAGGTAGCACCTTGCTCTTTTCTGCCTTTCAAGTAGGACTTCTGCCTACTGTTAGAATCTGCAACTCTGAGCCCCCCAAGAATCACCACAATAAATATAGCAATCTTCTTAAAGAACAGTGGGATCAACTTTTGTACACACTCAAACTAACAGAAAAGCAATACTCATATAACACCCAAACTTGAGTGCTGAAATGTTAAAAACAAAATAAAGCATGGAAACTTTTGAAAACTAAATGAGTGAAACACTCACAGGGAATCCTTTGGTGATGGGAATTTCAATATTGAAGATAAGAACCCGGGCTCTGAAACGTGTGCAGGCTTTGATAGGTTCCTTGGGACAACAATATATACAGCCAACACTGTAAGAAAAATGACAAAAAATGTATGTACTAAGAGCAGCTTCATAAAGATTTTTAATGCAACCATTCTAAAAAAAAAAAACCAAAAACAGGTTTAGCAGCATATTAAAAAAATGGAGCATAGAGTCTCGCTCCCTTCTCACTCAACCTACAACAAGGTGCTATTGCCCTGCAGCCGATCCTGTCCTTGTGTCCAGACTGGGACAGGGAGAGAAAAATTATTCAGAAGTTCAGTTTCTTTCCAACTGGTTTGACGGCAGAAATTCTCCTGCTGGGTACCCGAAACTAATGCCTCTAGTACCTTTGGGATACTAAACGTGCGTGCACATCTCAGTAGGCAAGAGAGGGCACTTCTGTGACTGTATGACAGAAGGCTTCATTTTATATATGAAATTCAAGCAGTCTGATTTTTCTAAAGACTGCAAAAATTAATAAACAAAAGCCCATGTATAGTTGCTGCAAATGTCCTGTTTGTTCATGGTGCAATGAGCACAGAGAAGTGGTATTTGTTCAATAGAAGTATTCTAATCTATTTACAAGCTTTAGGCTACACTCTTATGGGCCCAGTACTTTTTTGCCTGCTACCCTCAAACTCAGAGGTGTTGGGGGCCTGGGGGTGATTTAGGTTTTCTTTTTTAATAGAAATGTTAGTTCCTGTGGATATTCCTTAATGGGATAAAACTTTTTATCCCATTAAGGAATTTGGGGAATATGTCCATTCCCTACTGATTCTAGTTCATTTCTCCCTCATTCACATGAAAATTGAGCAGATGAATGATTTCACTGCTCTACCCTGGAAATTAGAAGAAGCCACCAAAACAGCTGCACCCATTGGCTTCATTCCATATAAGGCAGAAGGGCCAATCAAATTAAATGAATCTGAATCATACCACTACAAACATTATAGGTGAAACATTCTTCAAATGTAAAACTAGTGTCAGAGATCAACTGAAAAAAAGGCATTTGGGGAATATGGACTCTGCACCCAGTGCAACCCAAGTTGATCACAAACAGAGAACGCCCAAATTAAGGAGGGGATTGGATCCCCCTCCTCCCCGATCTGTTGCTACATTTGCAACTGACTAAAAAGCAGGCTTAATAGGGGTTCCTCCAAAACTGTAATGCAACAGGCAGCCTAATAAGCATATGCTTGCCTTCACACATTACAAGAGGAGGGAGTTACATGAGCAGCAATGCACACCATGGTTCTCTTTCTCAGAGTGCAAATAAGGTGCAAAACATCATGATAGGAATCTGTTTGAACAGGTTTGAACACATGCAATTCAAAATCAATCAATCGATCAAGACATGGAAAGAAGCAGGAGGTAGGAACCTAGGAGAAGGGAGGGATAAAGCAGTCACAAGGCAGGATCGTGATTTCTGTACTACTTTACCAGGCCTTCGAGGAACAAACCTCAAAAGCTACAGCTTGAACGTTGGGTGTGGATGAGTTTCTTAACGTATGTGCCAGTTTCATCTTCTGTGTAACGTTTTGACATTTATATGAAGAATCACTGGAAAGTAACTTTTCCAGGACTATCTAGTCTCACCTTTTCTATAATTTCTGCAATGCCTCCCTTTCTGTTTTCTTTCTAGAGCACTATCTTCTCTCTTCATCCTTTGACCTGTCCCACTCAGATTATAATGTCATGTTTCTGCTACTAACAATATTAAGAGTGCTAACGACACAAACATAACTGTAGTTCAGCAGTTGCTGGAAACTTTTGAAAAGCATCAATGATATATGCCATCTTTATGTTTATTTGACCACTCTCCCTCTACTGCTGTCTAGAAATTTAGATAAACATTCAACCAAATCATGAAGCATCTCCTATTAATCTCTGACCCCACCAATTGTTTGATTAGGACTGAGATTGCTGCCAGTTTAAAATTGTCTTTGCACGCAAGTGTGATGGTTTGCAACTTGATAGTTTTAAAAGACCAGGTAGCCGACCTCCCACACCCTTCCTCTGCAACCGGTAAACCACTGATTATCAAGCACAACGGTTATAAAGCTTCACACTAAATATAAACCGTTGCTTAGGCAAACTCTTTTCTGCACTCACTTGATTTTGATGATATCCATGCCAGTCAAAACGAGACTAACATGATCTCCTGCTGCAGCCCAATCCACTGGTTCATCATGTAGGGCAATTCCTAGAAATGAGTAAAAGCAGAACTGAGCAGTGAACTACCTTGGTTTAACAGCTACAAACAGCTCTGTTTTTGCCAATTCTGCTGCATCAACCACTACTCATCAGTTTTCAGTATGAATGAGGCGATAGTAAAAGCTGTTGACTAAAACCTCTGAGAAAACAATGTCGTTTGTTGTTTTTTTAAGGAACTACCATTTTTCGAAGGAACCGCTACCTCATTTATTCATAGCGTTTTCTGCAAGTCACGGCATCGAGCGAAATGTATGTCACACTGCGCAATGTATGTCACAACGCTGAAAGTATGACTGCACAATAATTTGAGAATCCTCCCATTCCTTATTGTCCATAAACTGTTACATGTCTTAGTAGTACCTGCTTTCAGTTTTCAGTAAGTGAGTTTACGTTCACTTTCAACGTAACGGTGAAATAAATGTGTGAGTAATGCAACATACTAGAAAACTGACTGCTAGAATACCTAAGTCATTTGCAAGAGTTACTGAAGAATCCCAAAGATGAGAGAATAATGAAATGCACATTTCCAGGGCTTTGAAGCATTTGTGCGTGTTGGAAACAGTAACTGAAGAACAGGACGCAATTTTAGGAAACCGTGCATTGCAAATATTGCACACAGTCTGAAAGCACTTATTACATTTACAGACAAAACAACACTGTCATGGGTAACATAATAGTTGATTTGAAATAAAACCCCAAGTCAGCTTCTATCTGTAAAGGATACACATACACTAAAAATGAAAGAAGTAGAATAAGAATATCTAACGAAGAGCGTTCAGTATCAGGAAAGAAAGGGCATTAGATTGGGTCAGCTAAAAATAAAAACAACCAACCAGCAGTGGGAAACAAAAGGGATGTGCTACCCCCGAGTTTGAAAGATAGGCAACCAACCAAACCAAACTTGGTAGAAAAAATAATCAGCTGCAGCAACTGAAATGACCCTGCCCTGAATACCGACTAGCCACACTTCGAATGCGGAATGGGATGCTGAACGAAGTCTCTCATAGTAACCGCAGAAAGTGGGCAGGTTCACATGAAAGGGGTGGCTCTTTAAATAACCTGACCGCAAACCATTTAGGAATAAGGTAAGAACTGTGTCTGGAAACCAGTTAGACACAAATGTTGGCTGACTAAAACACAACTAATGCATTTGTAGACGGAAACCCCAGAATCCACTCTGGTAGCCAACCAATGAAGTTCCCTAGCACCTTTCAAGGCAACACCATGTAAAATATATTGTTGGAAATCCTATCTGGCTGTGATCAAGGCACAGTTAACCAAAAAAGTGAACCAACTTGTATGAAACTACCAATGGCCACAGCTGCTGTTCAAAGGTCCCGAAACAAAGCTTTTATGAAACATTTCACATATCAACAGAAATCACAAGAACTCATTGTAGGCTTTCAGATGTGATAGTCCTGATTATCAGGTTCGTAAACTGTTTACCGTTGAATCCCAAAATGAGCATATACTATACCTTTCACAGTGCAAGTTTCATTAGGAGGCATTGCCAGCAGCCGGTCACCAACTTGGACATAGCCTGCTTCAATTTTGCCAGTTACGCAAAATCCTGATCCTTGGTCTAGAACAAACATTAAGGTTTGAGAAAATGAACAAAAATGAAGTAATGCACACCTGTTCTGGAAGCTGTAGCAACAGGAACACAGATGTTCAGTGAAATAAAAATAGCTGCAATAGCTGACTATTAGTCATATCTCAATGAAAACTGAGCACTTATTCCAGAAGTCTTTGCCATTTGTTCTTCGATAGGATATGCTGCACTAGCTTTAAACCTTCTCTGCCCGTTCATCCTCAATCCTCTCTCCTGCCCCTCCCTTTGACAGTTGTAGGTTGATTCATTCTGTATTATGTTAGTAACAAAAATGTCTCAAACTTGAACATATTAAATAAAATCCAACTAGTGAAAGTTCTGTTCACTGTATGAAACAACCTGTCTTCCTGAGAAAATCGCATCCTCTTAAGCAAACCACACGTTAAAGAAAACAATATCCTTTGATCATCTCCCAACAATCTGACAGTCTCCCAAATCTTCAATAAGGTATTTGTAATGTTTAAACAGAGTGGCATCACGAAGCACTGGGGTGACCAACCCAGCATCAAAAGCCATACATACTCTTATTTTTCTATAGACACCATTCCCAATTTACAGGCACAGGGGTTCAGATATGGCATGCTTCAATGTTGCATAGTTCAACTGGGATGCCTGGATGGAAAACACATTTTAGGAGAGTTCTGCTCTCTTTACCCATGGTGAAACTGGGGGCAAAAATCCTCTTGGATTTAAAAAAAAAATAATCAGATTTCAGAGCAGCAAGGTGTTTTGTGCTAAGAAGAGGTCATGGGTTAATTAAAGGGGTTACAGGTACCAACCTTGGCATATGCTTGAAATCCTTAATTGAATTAACACAAGCCAGAAATCCTAAGAATTGTCAAGCCAGTGCTCCTGCATAGCTATATGCTGAGCTGGCTTGTCGAGTCACCTTTCCTAAGCTGGAAAGGCACAGGCCTGAAGCCAGAGAGGTGACCACATCTGAAAGCGGAATGGGAGTTGGACTCCATGGCATATAGGTTCCTTCCAACTCTAATTTTATTCTATTTTATTCTATTCTGACACATATCACAGTGCATATTGAATATTACACCAATGCAATGTCATTTGCCATGCACTGAGTTTGCCACACCTGTGATTGCATTACAGCCTGTGCTGGGAATCATGATATAAAAGATGCAATCCTATGCAAGTTTAGAGAGAGAAAACTATGTTTGTGGGGCATGTGGGCCCTTTACTGTCTAAACTTGCTTTCATAGGACTGTGCTCAAAATGAGTAATATAATCAACAGGAGCTTTTTATAAATATTTTAAAATAATGTTTCACACACAAATAAAGTCACTTCTTTAAAATATTTGAAGCAACTTCACTACTAACCTTTAAAAACATCGGATACACATAATCTGAATGGTTTATCCACTGACCTTTGTGGCGGCTTGAAAGAATCTGTAAATAAACCAAGATATTCTATTAGCAGCCATGCCCTTTACTCGCGTGCAGCAAGCTTTGTGATTTTGTCATCTCTGCATTCCCCCAGCTCTGTTTTGCAATTGTTTTAAAACAGCCTTCAACCTGTGGCCTTCCAGATATTTTGAACTATAACTCTCATCAATCCTAGCAGGCATGGTCAATGCTCAGAGTTAGGGGAGCTGTAGCCCAAAACATCTGGAGAGCCCCAGATTGGAGAAGTCTGCTCTAACATCTTAGAAGTAGGTACCTACCAATTTGTTCTAGCAAGCATTTCCCTTCATACCATTTGGTCAGCTCACTCGACTGACTTCTTGTGACAAGATTTTCACCGCCAAGCCCACTTGTAGGGATGTAAGCTACATCCGACTCCTGGTTGAGAGAAGTGTTTGATTTGCAATGAGAAAAATGGCAAGCAACTTTTAAAGTATTATTTCTAAGCTTCTGAAACTCAAGGCAAGATGCATTGCTTTCTCGGAAGGTAAACGAAACACACTTAACTAGTTACTGAAGTTAACCAATAAGGCCTCCAAGCTCTGGAAAATTTTAGAAAAATGCTTATGCAGCAACCTGGTCCTTCCCCTTCACTGTTTTATTCAGCACTTCTCCCCCATTTTTTAAAGAAAAAGACTACCCAATGGTATTTTCCAGCTGAACTTATTAAAAACAGGGTTCAAAAAAGTCACTTGCTCGCCAGTGGTGAAAGCCCCTTCCCCATTTGATAAGTACCACTGTGTTTCCATAAAATGTCCTGTTTGTCTTATACTGATTCTCTTTTCATCTTGTTCACCAGCTTTCAAACTTCTTCAGATTCAACAGTAACTTAAGGCACCAGCCTCACAGAACAGGACTCATTTTCAAAACTGCCAGCTACCAGCATATTATTATTATTATTATTTTTGCAGGGGGAAGTCACAGTCAACCACCAATCATGCAATTTTACCACAGCATACTGTGGGGAGGGGGCGTTTTAAACAAAACAAATTAGTGCTATCCATTTCATCACACCTTTAGAATAGAGTGCATGCCAAGTTTCCTGATCAAGGAGCATTTCACCATCCTATCCCATGAAATACTGGAGGTGGTCCTTGCAAACTTACCCTGATAACTCAGTCACCTGAATTGCATGTCATTGTATTTACCTTAAAGCCAGCTTGCTTAAGGAACTGCCCAAGTTTACTGACAATTTCTTGAAATCTTTCCTGTTGCCAATTGACCTGTAATAAAAATATAATAACTCTGAGGGAGCAAGAGAGGTGTTGGAGATTATTCTCAACACAAATAAAAATGTTATCTTACAAAGAGAGCAGAAACATCAGCATTGGATGGCATTCTTGGTAAGAGTTTCTGAAGGAAGATAGAGCCTTAATTTCCATAAGATAAGAGCATCTTCTGTTTTAGAATATATTTTCAGATTAAGATGCTGGACTGAGTTCAAGCTGAGTTGGCAGTATTTGTGTGCTTATAACAGAAAATCAATATTAAGAAAATGACAGAAAATACCTGGTCCATTTTATTGACTGCAACTGCCAGCTGGGTTACGCCAAGGGATCGAACCAACAAACCATGCTCTCGTGTCTGCCCACCAGTCTCAAACCCTGCTTCAAACTCCCCTCTGCTGGCATCCACCACTAATATAGCCACATCTGCCTAAGAAAGAAGCACAGCTGTGAGGCAGCATCCATTCGTATTTGCTAGTAATAATGAAGTAACCAACCACCTGTAGAACATTTGCCTAGACCCTGTTCTTCTCTCCCCTTGCCATGTACTATTATTTATTAAATTTCTATACTGTCCAACATTTGAGTCACTCACATGAGTAACACCCACCATGTTACAGGAATGAGAATCTGAGAGAAGTTCTCAGTAGAAAATGTCTGAGGAATATTCTCTTCCCACTGACTGTTTCAACAAGAAACTGCACACAAGCAAACCAGAATATAGGTGGTGGGAATTTCCAATGAGTGAAAGTGCTACAGGATTCCATTCAGTAGGTTTTCACATTATATTTGATGGTACAACTGTGCAGCTCACCTGTGCAGCTCCTGTAATCATATTTGGAATGAAGTCTTTATGGCCAGGAGCATCCATCAATGTAATAACTTTTGTCTTTGTTTCAAATTTGGTCATACCTACATCCATCGTCACTCCCCTAAAAACAAAGCACAGGCATACAATAAATCATTTACAATCATTTCCAAAGTGTGTCATGCATACTAATTGATGACCTAGCATTTAAAGTCATCCACCATTTTTGATGGAGAGAAAATAAAGAAGAGATTGACAAAAAGAAAAATGCTTTATATCACTGCTGTTGACTTTATTATATTGGTATTTGTACTTTTTTTAACATCTTGTTCATGTGGCAAAACCACTATCACATAGGTTCAAGAAAGCAAACCTTGGAAGACAGGTTGTGTGCCAAGACAGGACAAAGGTGGGAATGTGTTCAGTTGCTATCTGGGCTGCCATGTTGCAGCATATGAAAGATTTCTTACCCACCAAAACAGTGTCATCAAATGGCTACAGCACAACTGACACTAGTCATGTACTTCATTCCTAGTTCTGCAAGAATACAGAAGGATGCCCACATCCCCAAAAGTAAGGCCAATAAATCCACAACAATCGTTTCTGGAGTATACATATATTCCTCAGCTGTGGAACAGTTTTCCTATATGCTAAAAGCATGAAAACTGCAGCCATACAATGAATTATGTCCTGGATACACAAAAAGGGATAACAATCCTAAAAACCATAGCATTTTGTATCGTTATAGTCTCAAATTGAATCACATGTATCCATGCTGACAATAAACAGATACTACAAAAAGTACAAGATAATTCTAACTAAAATGTTGCTCACCTCTCTCTCTCTTCACCTGTCTCATCCAAGACCCAGGCATAAGCAAAGGATGCTTTTCCAGCTTTCTTAGATTCCTGTTCATATTTGTGCATTGTTCGTTTATTCACATTTCCCAGAAGGTACAGCAAATGACCCATTAGAGTACTTTTTCCTGCATCAACGTGTCCTAGAATAAGAAATCAGTTTGTATTATACTGATGGACACATATTTAAATCCATACTAATCCTAAGGTAAAGGCAACAAATAGTCATTATATTTTTTAGTAAAAAATACCTATTATCACTAGGTTAAGTAGTTGCTTTCCTCCTTGTCTCTTCTCCAACTCAGCTTTCACATCTATTTGCTGTTTTGACTTTCCAGATTTCTTCACTGGAGTTGGTGCCATTGTCAGTTCTTCTGATGCTTGAACATTCTGGGATGGTAATGTTGGCTTAGGCAGAATCTCAGTTATACCCAAATTGGTATTGGCATCTCCAGCTGAAAGTCCTTTCTGTGGCATAAATGTATTATGGCCATTCTCTTCAACATTCACACTAGAGAAAGCAAAGATTGGATTTACAAGAATATACAAAAACAGAAGTTCTATAACAACGTGGAACAAATGAAATTAATTCTTGCACATTTTTTAAAACTTCAAAATAAAGAAAATAAAAGGACAGTAATAAAACTACTAGATAGCCACAGGTAATGGCCGGGTTCCTACAGACTATTCTTATAGTAGTGTATGCACAGAATTTCAATATTCAAACTGTGACTGTGGTTGTGGTGTGTCTGAACACAGTGGGGATGGATCATGTAAGGGTTAAAGAGCCCTCACACAACCTTCAAACAAGCCATGGCCTATGTGAGAAATTTCTCATTTTCTATGTTTTGATATACATTCTAGCCATGAAAATGTATAAAATGCACTGATATACATCCACAGCTATTTAAAATTGTTAAATAAAATGTACTTGTGCAATAACTTCCTCCCTAACAAGCAGCAGCTACGGGACAGTGCCAAAACTTATGCTGAAAAGAAACATTACCTGTACTGCACCACCAGCAATAAATTGAATTAGACAAGCCCTTATTAAAGTGATGGTACAATGTCCAAGAGACACAAAAGAGAGGTTTCTACTGAATAAGATGCAGCCTGAGAACCATTATTGAACCCTTGCACAGTTCCTCCCCACTCTTCTGGGTTCATATGGCACAACAGGCCACCATCACAGCTTGAATAGCCAAAACTGCTGCCCACATGTGCCACAGCCCCACAGATGGCTTAAATAAAATGCTATGTATAGCCCTGCAAAATGGGCCAGTTTGCACCATCGAACAGCTGAACATGTCCCAAGGGCTTACCAGAATAGTCATATAACCATCTGAATCAGTGGTCAGCTGCATTGTCTGGCCAAGTCCTGAAAGAATCCTGCATTATTATGTTCTCCCAGATTTACGTCAGATGCAAAACTGAGTTATGATCCACCTCACTACTCAATATGGCTACACAGGGAGGTTACCAAATGGTTATACTGACACTATACTAGGTTATCATTGACAAAGAGCCACCTGCCCTTACTTGCAGCACTGGCTTTATTAGACAGATGGCCCTCCATGTATAAGCAATATTGCTACAACACCTGGTAAAACACATGGTCCTGCTTCTGAATGGACAGCATTCAGGGTCTTCTTGCACATGTGGAGCTCTCCAGGCAGCCTTTAGGATCAGGACCATAGTCCCCTATGAGCAAAAACTGTTCCTTACTCAGTTCCTCTTAATCAAGCATCTCAGTCTTTACCCGTATACTCCAAGGTTTGACAAAGGGAAACTGTGAACTGTGTTTTAATTTCTAATTTGAAACTGTCAAAGCATGCAGAAAAATCCACCCCGCCCCCCCGGTGCAAGGGGAACAGGTGGAAGGGATACAGATATGCTGAGGTAAATCACTGAGGGTCTTTGCTGCAGCTGGCTTTGTTTTCTTTCATAAATTCATTATACAACTATGGATAATTATTTTACTCTCTAGGCCTCATTTTTTCTGAGGGGAAAAAAGATTACAGAAAAATAAATTCAGGGAATCCAGTTTAACCTGTCCTAATCCTCAACTCAGAAAAATGTCAGCATTCATAAATGGAAAGTATTATATACAAATAGGCTTCTAGCTGGCAATCTGTGTGATGACAGCAGGCTATTTCCCTTGCAACTGACCAAGGCTAAGTCACTAGGGACAAGATTTTATCCAGCCTAACTAAACAAAAGCCTACATGCATTCATGAGACAGACCAATCAAGGTAAGAATTTTTGTTGCTGGCAGCTATTCCAGATCTCTACATACTAAGAAAAGAGGTATGTACTACATACTATACACCTCTTGAACTAGTTTCAAAATACTGCATCAAGGATAATCAGTCACATTATCTTCAGTTATCCATCAATAAAGATTATATCTTTGTATATTTAAAACTTGTATTACTATGGTTATTTCTTGAATAACAAAGAACTAATAAATATATAGCTGATCTTTTTTATTCTCCCAAACTTGATATAGCAATACCTATTATTCCCTGACTGCAGCAACTAGCAAATATTGGCTTCTTGGCAAAATGTGGGTTATTGAAAGGTATCACCTGGTCTATCAGAAAGCACCCTATGTCTTTCTGCTTTTCAAGTTTGCAGAAACAGCTGTTTCAGTGTACAGGAAGAGAGGGAAGAAAGGTGTTAACCTTGAAAGGATGAAGTAGGAAGACTAGCTTTGGAACATCTGGCCAGTTTCTCAAAACACTCATCCCCTGAATATTTAATCTTTAAGCAGTTTAATAAGGAAAATGTCACCTGAGCTATCATGGCCCCTTAGCCCATAGACATGGGATTGTTAAGCTTTGTTAACACTCTCCCTGATTCATTTCTGGTACGCACTCTTACGCAATGTAACACAACACTATTTTGTAACTTGAGTCACAGGGCAAGTGAACACTCAGTACAGTGGACACAGGCCTACAGATGGATGCAGAAGTCCTTTTTTCTGTGCTCTGAAAAAATTACCCTTCAATTAACTTATCTTGCAATTATTCAAGTTTGCAAAGTTGTATTTTTGAAGAAACCTCCAGCAAATTTAGCACAATGTTAACTGGCTAGCTGTTCTCTCTATGCTACTCAGAGTGAAAGGATTTTTTAAACTCACAAATGAAAGATGCCTTCTTCTGAAAGTAATCATGAGTCAAACAAGAAGCCATGCTGTTTAGTTCTGTAGCATATTTAATACTAAATCTCTGTAAAAATAGACCAAAAGGAAAATCTTGCTACAGGTGCACTGTTCTGGGGGAAGAGTAATGCAAGTGTACCTTGAGAAGGATGAAGGCTTACCATGGAACTTCAAAGCCAGTAGCTTGTTTCTTTCCAGACACAGTCATTTTGGTAACTTTTGGCACAATGTCAGATTCAATTCTGGTTGTCTGGGAATCTCTGACTTTTCCTGGCATGAGAGGAAAAAATAAATTTGTAGCATAGAAACAGAGCAAGCAAATTGAATTTCCAGACTTTGCTTTGATATTGTCAATGAATAATATTCATTGAAAGGAATGGCTTATATAACTATAAAGGTAAGACCTAGTAACAAGTTCTTTCTGAAGTATAAAATTCTGAAGATATCTGAAAACTCTGGACTGGTCTCTTAAAATTTTTAATTACCCTGAGCTTTTAGAACAGAAAAAACTGAAAATCTGAAATGAAAAAGTAGAAATAATGATTGTGTATTCACCTCATGGCTCATGATGTTCCCAAAACTGTCAGAATCTCATGTCCTTCATGAAATTTGACATCCCAGTAAAGGACAAAAATCCAGCATCCTGTAAGCAGATGCTTGTGCAGTAAGATGTCCTCCTCCTCTTCTCAATCCAGCAGAGTAGATTATGGGTTATGAGGGGCACATGGGTATAGAATCATCCCTTCTGCATTCTACTCATCAAATCTATTCTGTTAGCATCAGAAGTTAACCAGGTACTACCCAAAGTTTTAATTTTTTTTTAAATGAAATGCCTCAAACTTCAAGTAAATGTGGTTCTCCTTTTTAACCTTATCTTTTCTTGAGGAATCAAAGCTGCATATTAGAATGTGAATATTATAAAATAATTTAACAATCTTCTTCACTCTCCCACCTCCAAATGCTCTGCCAGGTCTTTGTTTCTCCTTTCAATCATATTGTCCAGTTTTAGGATGCAATGCCGATGTAGGCCTATTGTTGCCCGATTGTACCATTCTTGCTTCTCCCTATAAATATGCCAAGAAAGGCGGGGGGGGGGGCACCATTCCAGAAATGTTTTTTCCAAGTCTCTGCACCTCTGAACTTTTTCCTATGGTGTCCCAGGTGTGTTACAGCCATTGTGATAATGTTGGGATGTCTGCATTTTCCTACTGCACTATACTTCAGGTGCAAGGAGGCAGCTCTTCAGCTATCCAGGAAACAGATGGGGATATTTGCGAAAAGCTCTCCAACCAGATGTAGACAGGAAAGATATATGAGACTTGGTAAAGAATTTGTGTGAAGCTTCAGTTCTCAGTATCAGTTCATGGGAATATTTTTAAATCTTACCCCTACTTTAAACTATTTCCATACTATTCCTTCACACGTGTCCAGTCCTTTAAAAAGAAAACTCTTGAAAATAAGAGTTTGGCCAGTTTCCTTACTTTATCCCAGTCATGTGGTTGTGTTCTTAGAGTTCCATTCCACTGATGGAAGACATTCCATCAGCAGGATTGTGAGGTGATCCCCATGCCCTTGCACATTCTCAGAATGTGTTATGAAGGGCTAGGAAGCAGCTAGCAGCAGAGTTTCAGATGGCGCAGAAGACTTCATGGTGGAGTAAAGAGGGAAAAAGTGCAAAATGTCCTCTGCTAGCATGATACTGGATTTAAACCCTGGAAGGTGGTCTTTCTTGGCCCAGATACAGTATTTTATATTCTCCCTTCTAGCCACATTGTTTCTCTTAATTTGTGCTATGTACTATGCTAATAGTATATTTCAAAACTACATGAGGTTTAACGGGTTAGCATAATACACTGACCAAGATGTGTCAGTCACCAAACAGCAGGAAGGTGCCTCCCATCCCCCTCAGCCACACGGCTTACAAGATTCCTCTGTCTGATGAACCGGGGTTAACGCCCATGCGTGAGGCTGGATGTGGACTCACTCAAAGTAACACTAGGCACGAAGAGATGTTCAACTCCTTGTAAGTTGTTTTGAATAATTCCCCAAGTAAGAACAATGAGTTATTTAGAAAAAGGTTATTTCCTAAATAGAAATTACAGACGGGGGTTTCCAAGTAAAAGCCCTGTTGCTTTCAACTACTACTTCTTTATAAAGCTTAACAGCCTGTTCACACACTGCCATTTCTTGTCAAAATGAGCTGTTCAGGGTCCCCAAGAAGAGAGCGACGTTTACTGTATTGTAAAGCACCAGGCAGTCACAGTTTCAGACTGGCAAGCAATTTCCACTATTGCAAAAGCCACAATAACCAACTAAGAGCCACCTGTGCCATATAACATGATTATCATGCAAGCACACACTCTTATGGGGAAAATGTTTTGTGTGAATTTAGAAAAAGGATTTTAAAGGGGAATTAAAGCCAGTTAAAAACAACATTAATTTAGCATAGAAACTGAGAAAAGTGTTCTAGTTTTCCCTGAAGTAATCTAAAAGGAGAAGCTAGTTAGATCTGTTTCTGTGGTGCATGCCCAGCAAAATACAAAGTCTTCCCTGAGTATTCAAGTGTGCTCAGCATCAAAATCATCCTTTAGAAGTTTGCGTTCTGTCAACAAATGTCTGGACTGGAAGTAAGATGGTACTACTGACAACATATGCAACACTGCCTAGAATAGGTATTTTAAAAGATCTGTGCAAATCTAACAGACTTGGCATGTATTTACCCAAGCAGTCTGCACAGAGATCAATAGTAGCATGAAGCTACCCTGCTTGCAAACAAAATGTAAACCCTAGTCCTACATGCTGTAACTAAGGGTTTGCTTGTGCTAAAGGTACTATAAAACGTTGTGAAATATATAAAAACACCATAAGTGGTACCCAAAGGGGTACAAGTATTAAATTACTTTGAGCTAGCATAGATTAGTGACTACTCTCAATTACATACTGACCCAAATAAAGATTCTTCAAGAATGCAAAAAACCCCCTAAGCCTTCCCCAAGCTACCTGTCTTATGTTACATGAGGATCCAGGGCAAGGAAAACATGTAGAGGAACATGGGCAAGAGCAGATACCCGACAAACATCCCAAGAGGAATGAGAATCAAAGCTGTGCAACATGCAACTGGAGTAGCCAGCAGTGCACACATGGTCCTATATGCTCAACACGATTCCATTTCAAACAGCGTGGCAGGAACCATTAACGTGTTGAGCATTTTTGTTCAGAATCCTTCCACAGAAGGTCCCTGTTCATTTGGTTCTCATACACTGCAATAACCACAATCGTGTTTGTGGCGTTTTCTTATTCAACGTTATCTTGCTAAATGACTCCAACGTGTATTTCATCGACAATCAGGGAAAATGTTCTGTGATGGCATGCAGAGCTGCCTGACCATAAATAGGCATGCAAAAAGCAGTGTCAGCACTAAATGTGGGATAGCCCTAACAACATTTCTTCACTAGCTAGTTAACCTAAACTGAAAGTATACGCAGTCTAAGGTAACGTTCAACACAATTAATAGAATTTCTGTTGAGGCTCTGGTTCGCTATGAGTATGTAAAACTGAAAGTACGCCATGTAACGAACAGGTACTTTTACTGAAATTTAGTCATGTTTCCAGAAATGAAAATCGTTATCAAGACATCATACCAGAGGATGGTGCTATTATCTGGTCAAATCACCAATATGCTAAATCAACTATGTGTATATTTTATGCACATGCAATTAAAACCTAGTCAATCACAGCAAGTGCAGTGTGAAAAATATTAAGCTAATTTAATGGGTCTGCAACTATTTGTCAGACAGACTCCTAAAAACAGGAATGAAATTACATAAAAAGGTACTGTAGATATGGTTGCTCTATTCTAGGAGAATGCATTTCTCTACTCTTGAAAACAAAATGTTAATGATAGTTTTGTTTTTAACAATACTGGAAATAAAAATACAATGTGTTAAATGTTGTGCATGGTGATGGACTTGGCTTATGGTGTAAGTGCACACACAAAATACAGAAGGCATTACTTGCACAATCCATCAGTGAAAGTCCAAAGGGGCTGCAGGGTTGTGTAGGCAAGGTCACATGGCTCCTCCCAATTGTTCATGTGCTGAGAAGTAACTACATCAGGAAGATTTTTCTATCTGCGGGCTTCCCAAAGGGTGCATAATCTAAATCACAAAGTAAGCCTACACAGGGTGCTGGGCTGGAGTCCAAGACTTTGTTTCTAGTCTCTGCTTCCCCAGTGATTTTGGCCCAGTCACTGACTCTCAGCCTAACATACCTCACAGTGTTGTTGTGAGGATGAAACTGGGAAGAGGTCATGCACACAGCCTTGGGCTCCTTGGAGGAAAGGAGAGATAGGAATGTAAAACAAGCAAACAGTCTAAGTCCCTGTTGTAGATATTATCCTTCAACATGGGAGGAAGTAGGTGACTGTAGGGGCAGAACAAAACACACAGCCCCTTTGTGCTTTCATGGACAAATCATACAAGTAATGTCTGCATTACAGGCATTAAAGTTGTGGGTGACAACAGGAATGCTTCTTGAGTTCTCTGGCCCTGCATCTGTAACTTCAAGTAACCATGTCCTTACAGCATTATGCTGAACATATCTGCTTTATCTAATGGAAAATTTAATCAACAAACCAGATACTGCATTCCGTGATGCTATGATATTTGGTGATAATGTAAAAGAAAAAAAAAAAAGACGACGTTCATGGGAAATAAAATAAAATTAAATCAAAAGCATCTTTTGCTCATCCACAGTTGCCAGGGAAAAGTTAAGCTTTCACATAAATCTGATCAAAATATTTTTTTCTAAGCATACACCTTTTAAGTGTGCAAAAATAGATAGCAGCCTACTTGAAGTCACTGAAACTTAAAATAGTAAACTATTTTATAAAGCCTTCAGCCTTCTTGGCATTGGCTTAGAAAATACAAATGAATGGAAAATGAGCCAGCAGTCTGAAAGTTTCAGTCTTGCTAGCATCTGAAGCAGGAATATAAACACCTCGACTTTTCCAAGTGTTAAAGATGCCACTCATTCACTGTGATCACCAAATATGATAATCTCATGTTACGTAACACATCAGTGATATTGCGCACAATGACTATGTGTTTCATGAACTTTCCTCAGTAATCAAGTCTAATGACGCAAAACAGCCTTCCCCAATTTGGAACCCTTCCGGTGTTTTCAAATCTAATAGTCAGTTGTCCTGACCACAGGCCATACTGGCTGGGGCTTAGTTACGAAGACCGAAACACCTGGAGAATCTCAAGTTG